TCTCTGGGGGGATGTAGATCTAATCAGGAATTCCAAGCATCCCGAGATGGCTGCGTATATCTTGGCTCCCCGGCGCGCCTAAAACCACACTATCTGGAAACAGTTAGACCACTCACAGTACAATAGTGCAACAAGAATGGGGTACCGCCATTCCTGCTGAGCAGCGGTGGATCAGGATAGGGCTATCGCCAAGGTTCTACACATCAAATATATACCCACACACCACCCATCCTCTCGGGCAGCATGTCCAGCGCCTGCCGTACAAGCCATCCCCCCCCCCCCATTCACCTCAATACCACACATCTCATGCGCCTCCATCCTCTTCATCCTTACCAAGCAATAAGACCCTAACAGCGCCCACCCGCCTACCCCCAGCCACCATCTCAAACGGGTTGCGTCGGTCCTCAACATGAATATTAACCTTCCGATCGACTAGTAACCTCAAAAAGGTATCCATCAATTCATCCTTCTCCTCCAAAAACGGGAGGGTATTGCCACTAATACCGCCACTCTCGATAATATGATCCGCAAAGAACACCCCGACCGTATCCCAGCAATCCACAAAAACCTCCCTGGGCAGATCCATTGGCCCGATGCTAGCCGCCGGCGCCGCCACCGCCTCGTCGCGGCGCTTGCGCCAAATGGCACGCATAGCGTCTTGGAACGGGTTTACAGTCACATCGACCCTCGGGTGGGCAAGGAGTCCGCCTCTCCTTAGTTTTCTCAAGAGTGTTTTGTCGTTTGCGTCCGCGGGGGTGAAGGTAGCTTTCAGCGTGTCTTCTCGGACCTTCGCGTCGAGTGTAATTGGTATGAGGAGCGGTGATACAACATGCAGATTCTCTGGCCGGAGGCAGGTCCGGAGAATGGAGTGTGTGTTTGGGGTGCGGGTTTCTAGTAGCTTTGAGATTTGCTTAGTGACTTTGGTGGGGAGAGTGGCTAAGGACATGATTCCCTCTCGTGATCTGGAAAGATACGAGATTTCCTTAGGGGAGGGGGGTTCAAGGGTCTTCGTCTTCCAATTGCAAGAGGGCGCCGGCCGGTGCGACGAGTCAATCGTAATAGATTGCAGGAGATTCCAGGTGCAAGCAGGACTCTCTTTAGCAGAACAGCAAGGCCTACCGCCATCCAAGTGTAAAGGCCGGGTAACCGGGCAACGAGCTTTCCCGAAGTGGCTCTCTCTCCTTGGGAGAGTTACTAAAGCAAGGAAGCAAACATTATCGGATTCTTTCTAGGCTACCAATTATCCCTCAGCAGGCCTGCCCTTTCCTGCGTGTCTGTTGTATTAGCACAGCACCAGACACTGGCGATTTTTCAGATGGTGGCGATCCAAGTGCTATTTGGCGGAAAAGCATGTTAATTACCGTATCCTAAGCCACATAACACCTCGCCTTCAGCCTCATGCAGGTTTTGGTTTGCTTGAACCATATCATAACACCATACTTGTATCGTATATTGAATCCCATAGCAACATACCGGCATTCGATAGCCCGTGCCAAGCCTAGAACCCCGTATTCAAGATTCACTAACTTATTGTATGAGTACTATGATAATATTATGGGTGCTGATATGCGAAAACTGGGCAAATCTACAACTGCAACAAATTTCCTTCAATGCATATCATACTTCTTAAACATAAAGAGCATCATCTCAAGAGCTTAAAAAATATTTGTTAGTTAAATTGGACTCTTTATAAGCTTTATAATTCATCAGATGGGTGCTGATATGTGAAAACTAGGTAAATCTACAACTGCAACAAATTTCCTTTAGTGCATATCATACTTCTTAAAGATAAAGAGCATCATCTGAAGAGCTTAAAAAATATTTGTCAGTTAAATTGGACTCTTTATAAGCTTTATGGTTCATCAGATCTAAAATTGTTGTGGTTGTCATGCAAACTTCAAAGTGTTATAACTCAAAACCAGGTTAAAGGTGTCTGCCCAGTTTTCGCATATCAACACCCATATGGAGATGAATTCAAACACGGCACAACGCGCTACCGCATTTCAGAACAACCAATACCATGTAGGGGAGTTACAGATGGGAGATATGAATATCACCTCACACCAGGTCTTTTTGATATTAGGCAACTTGGTTTCCAATGATGTTCAAGTCAGAGCTCTCCCTAAATATATCCAGTCTGCAGATGGTGTTCCCCTTTCTTCCCCGCCCCTCGGATCACACCACACTCCTCCGTACCGTACTCCTGGCATCCTATATTTCACCTTTTCACGGGTTAACTATATACCCCGGTAGCTACTACTGGCCGACCAACGGGCCTGGGGAACTTATGCGTAGCACAAATGTACCGCCCAAATCGCTAATAGTACGAGTGAGAGGTAATGACTCTCTCGGTTGGGTGGAGTCATAAGCGACTTTCATGCGACACCTATTTTTCAACCTCACAATCGCTATCCAGCGCACGAGCCCCTAGACTGCCAATTGAACTTATCAATAGCGCATCTAACTCTCAAACAATGATAGCCAAACATTCATGTTGGCAGTTGAGTCCGAAACCTCCAGACCGGCAAACTGCGCGTATCTTGAAATTATCATACCCATGTTGAACGGAAGCCCAATCCGCCTTGACCGGAAAGGAGCGCATGAAAACAAGCACCCAAACCGTCAAGCATAAAAGAACCCGTTTCAATCCCATAGCTTTACTCCAACCTTACGGGCAAAAAAATACACCATCACCCAATAATCACCCAGTCACCCAAAAAAAACCCCCCAGGGGAGGAAAGAAAAAATAAATACACAAACGAACCCACCGTCCGAACCCAACCAAAAAAAAAAAAAAAAAAATACCAACCCCCTATCAAAATGGTCGACAACACTCAACCCTTCAACACCCCCAGCAGCCAGAGTGACAACTTTCCAGCTACCAATATCACGGAGCAGTACGCTACATACTTCACCGCGGACCACCAACCCGCAGCAGGAACAACAGCAAGCATACCCCCCAACCTCCCAACCCCGCCCCACAGTCCGGAGCCAACAGCCAAAGTTCAAGATATTACAAGGTCCACCGAAGCGTTCCTGGCACTCCTCCCGATCCTCACCGAATTCCCGGAAGCTGTTCGGGACCCTGACTGCATGGGCGCTCACGTTCTCGTACTGGAACGATTGATAACGTGCGGGATGAACTATTTCGCGGATATGATCGATTGGGAGGTTGTTCGCCAGGGGTTCGAACGCGAGGTTATTGAGTGGGGAGATGGGGATGGGAGTGAGCAGGTATGATGGGTAGCTAAGTAGCGTAAAGAGGCGTCATGCCCGGAATGGGGGGGGGGGGGGCTGGTGGTGAGGGTGGAGTT